GCATGTTCTGATTTAATGTTAAACAGGTAGTTTAGTCTAGAACCATGAGAGAAACACTGTTATTACCAGTTCATAAAGCTTCATCAGAGAAGAGTCTAAACACTACTGTCCTCTCAACAAATAAGCACAAGAGGAGAAACCAAAAGAGATGAGAGGTGCTTCTCATATGGTTTACAATATAAACAAGTGAGATATCTTCACTGAACTACATCCTTAAGAGTGGTGCACTGAATATAAATAAGAGAGTCTAGTTGAGTTGTAAGCTCTGGACAGGGTAGCTGTAGTAGTAGTTAGACGGTGGGTGAATCGGGTACAGAACAAATGTAAGTGTTGACTCAAATCAAAGAAAAATATTCATCTCATAATGAAATTAAGAATGGGTAATCTAATCGAATGCAACTGCACACCAGACTGCTCAGTTACTTAAATCTTAAGAGTAATTTAATGTTCCTGATATGTTATTGACAATCCCAGTGTACTAACAAAATGAGGAAATGAAAGGCTGAGTTGGCTTTGTTTTGTACAATTTATTTCACTTCATTACAATTAAACTTCAATGCATTGCCTTTTACAAATCCTCTTAACTCCATGATGTGCTCCACTGTTTGTGCACAGATATAAAAACGTAACTGATGCTGACTGAATTGAATGATGGACAGATGTTATTTAAGATATTAAAGCATGTATAAAGAGGGATTAGTTTAATCCGCATTTAGAAGAAGATTATGCAGCATCTTGTAAATGCTGCCACATCCATCAGAGGCACCCTTGACTTCTTGAGCAAAGATGTCTTAAAGGAATTGTTTTACTGAATATAAAGTGATGTCTACTGATACCAATAGGTCTTCTTATTGAAGGAAAATGTGTGTCTCACCAAATTGATTAATCACAGCTTTTATAAAAGGTAGTAATGGGTGTTAAAGAATTTAAGGCTTTTAGCAGGTTGTCTTTCTCTGATATAAATTGGGAATATACACAATATTTATTTACAAGATTTGAGTAAAATACATCAATAAAGCAATGGCAACAGAATAAAAATGGATTTCGTAATATCTTCCTTGTAAAATTACAAGGCATGAATCTTGGGGTATATTAGGTCTCAATTTATTCAAGAGAAAAACTCAGAGTGACATTTTATACTGCAACCTCTTGTGTGCTCCACTGCCTGAAGACATTGCTCAAAATGATCTTCATTTAGAACTGAAAATATTGTATCTCAAAAGTAAGTAATATTTCCTAATTGTATTAATGTAATCATTCAGATATAGCATATAATAATTAATGCCGCTAACGACAATATTTACCAACCATCTGATGACACTTTACATTACATTGATGTAAAAAATATTAGCAGCCTTGTGTAACATAAGCAATTACCCATGGAGCTTTTTATACATTGGATGAGATTAGTTCAATTAGTTTGCTCTCAGAGTCCGTGAACAATTTTCTCATCAATTTCCACTTTATTTTTACCTTTAAAAATGGGCTGAATGAGTTCATTAACCCAGTATATAGAGCGAGCAAAATAACATTTTTCAAAATAGAAATAATTAGTTCAACATGTTTTATGGTTAAAAAAAAAGCTAGTTCAACATTTTCTCACCCTCGGCTGTTATTGGGAAATGCTGTGTGTATTTACTACTTGCTACATATCTCCAAAGAATCATAGGAAAGGATATAGCAATAGTGAATTGAACAAAACGGTTCCTGGAACCATAAGAATTTAGAACACAGAAGAAGGCCATTCAGCCCATCAAGTCTGTGCCAGACATGACTCCTTGTAGGAATTGTATGGATATTCGCTACACTTTTCTTTCTATCTCCAATTTTCACCACACGATTTAATATGCAGGAATTCGTATTATTATTATCATTATTATATGTTATTGCTAAATTTGTTGTTGTTGAGTGTGTCACTCTGAATAGTCAACAGCTACTTTTGAGGTCTTTTGAGTAAGTGAGCTGGACAACATCAGTTTTTCTCCTCCATATGCCCTATCCTCCCTATGTGCCTGGCTTCTGTGCAGTGCTCCAGCTAGCAACCTAGTGAAGACCAGACAATATGGATTTCAGTTTGACCTGAATACCTTCCAACCCTAGGATCCAAACACCCCCTCCCCAAATCTGCTTATTTGAAATTGTTGACTCAATCGGTTCGCCTAATGAGCCACAGACCAGCATTTTCATATGAAAAGGAAACTTATAAGAAAATAAATAGCTCTAACAGATTCAGCACACACAATGTTTTTTCATCAAAATAAGTGCCGTACATAAATCCAATCTAGAGATGGTTGAAATCGCACACATACACACGATACTCTAGTTCTAGTGCTGATCGCACCAAGGAACCTTGCTGAGCATGTTCTCTTCATTTGCGATAGAATTCAGTTTACATTATTGCGGAATGCAAAAAAAGGCATTTATCAGCTTTTCTAAGCCCTGGTTCGTAAAACGCTGGGTATAAATGGAAAAGCAATCTTGCCCTTACTGACTGCTGCCACTGTCTGGCAGGTTTTCAAAGTGTCATCTCCTCTAGTTGATTATAGGAACATTTGTTTCTCTGTCCATTCTAATGAAAATAATTATAGTGCTGGCACATTATGCAAATACAAAATATTTATGATCGTGCACACAAATAATGAACTAAATAGGTTTCAGATCTCTTCACTGTCATCAAGATCCCACTAACCTAATGAAGCCTCTTTGAATCATTTGTTTATTATCTAAACGTTACTCACACAGAATCTTCCTCGTACAACTGGCTTTGTGCTGGCTTCTGTTCTATATGATGTTTGATCACACAGTATTGAGCAGTCTGATCTTGAAGCAATCAGCAAATACCTTATATTGAGGCAACTGTCTCTCTTGGAAATTATTATGTAGAATGGAATTAGGAATATGAAAATATTAAGGAGGCCGTAGTAAATGCATGCAAGCTTTTTTTCCTTCAATGTTGTAATAGTCTAGTCTAGTCAACCTTTAGATAAATGTGACTCAGACAGTCAGTTTTCTTATAGTTATCAATGATGCAATCAATCTGCAACCTTCTCTAGCTACAACCATGGTTCAAAATGTATAAGTATAATCGTAAAGCAAGCAAATTTGCATTTTATTATTATAGCATCCTGATAGCTTCACTGTTCTCATTTCCTGGATGTGATTTTTTTAAAAAAGTTTTTCTGGAAGACAGTAATCTGTCAATTTGCAACGGATTCCCGATAATTCATAACTGATAAATTATGATATTACTTGATTGACCCATCATCATTATTTCCATGACTAATCCACATTATAATTCCATGAAAGTACAAGACATTTCCCTTTCAAGGTGCTCTGCGGAACATGCTACACTATTTATGGTCTATTTGAAACGTTGGTGATGCTGAATAACAGGGTCATACATCAAGTGCAGTTTAAAGAATCATAGTCAGAAGTGTTTTAACTCCACTTTTCTGTTCCTTCCCATCTCTGACCTGCGCTCCTATTTAATAATACATCAGCTGAGTGCTGGAGCCACTGTGTCAAATGAGTAACTCGATTGCTGAATTTCTGAGTAATCCCTAGTTTTCTTTTTAAGTGAAATAGTCAACTATACTTAAGCAATGATGTCAGGGAACTAATTTTAACAGATTAATAGATTAATAGAAACTTTACTCCATCCCTGTTACCACCCTATTGATAACGATTGAAGCTATTCGGACTAGATTCAGTGAAAAGTTATGGAACAATCTTCCAAAAATTCTTAATGTCAAGTTAACTTTTATGAACTATTGACTCGAGTGTGAATGACCTGCAGAATTCGATGAACTCTTTAGCTCTTTAGAATGACTGTGTAAGGTACCACATGTACCCTTTTTAGCATTTGTTGCTGCAGCATGAACAACAAAAAATCAATCTAACTTTAAAGTTAGCTTGTTACTCAGTTGGTCTCATTCCACTAAACGCAATTAAACAAAAAATATCTACAAGTGATTGACTTAACCGCAATAATTGCTGACTTCACAAGGCAAGGTCTTAACTTTAAAAAAAAACTATTAAACTGGTACTGTTTGTTTGTGCCAGGGGAACAGGACAACATAACAGGAGATTGCCTGTCTGTTTATAATGTAGTACAGAAAAGGTATTCCACTGGACTACAAACAGAATAATCCTGAACCGTGAGACATACAGCATTAGGAGGAAAAGGAAAACCTTCCGAGAAGCTGTTTCAAAGCAAATCGTATCGGATTTCCTGCTGGTTATGCTCTGTTCACACATCACAAGATGCTTTTCAGTTTCATCCCTCTATTCCTTTGCAGCTCACCTAGTAATTAGGAATGGAATACATTTTTTTTAAAAAAACACAGGCAGCAGCCAAACAGACGAGATATTGGCAAGGTGCATTTATTTCTATACTGCTGTTGCCTGCTAATGATAAAAGAAATCAAAGGAGGTGGAAAACAACAAGGAAGCCCGACTAGAAACTAAGCTCAGTTGCTGTTCAGTTGGCAAAAGACAGACAAATAGTTTTAACACATCTGGTGCTGACTGCAGAATTGGCAGAGAGCTCCATCCACAGCAGGTGGGTCGGTCTTAGGTGATCTGAGACAACTCACACAAAATAAAGCATGGGAAGCAACGATGGATTCGGTTTGAAGAATTCCTGACTCTCAAAAGAGAGAGCAATTGCAAATATTTGCCCCATTGCAGAATTTCACTCGTGCGGTCGGTCCTCTGGATGATCCCTATTGCAGCAATCTGTTGATTCATGAAAGTCGTGTTTGCAGGTAATTGCACCTCAAGGCGACTTCATCGAATCCTCAAACTACTGCCAAACCGTACGAACAAACAGCATTTGCATCCCACACAAGTAAAGACAATGTCATTTACCATTATTATTTTTTTTGGGAGGGAGGGAGGGAGAGAAAAAAAAATGATCAAGCAACAGAGATGCAACGAAAGTTTAAACTGACAACGAGACATTAACTTTCTGCAAACAGGGTGTAAAAGAAGCTAAATACCAGTGCCTTGTTTCCATTCTTGCAGAGTGGTCCCCGGAAAACTCCCTTGATGTTTCTGAAATGGCCATTGCTAAGGTGTGTGGAGCTGATGACAATATAGTAACACGCCATATGGTGCTGTAGCTCCCAAGTGCAACACACACACAGCACACACACCACACACACCACCAGCACCAGCACCACCAGCACCACTCAGTGCGAGCAGTTCAAGTGGACAGCAAACGAGATGCCTCCTGATGGTCTGAGCTTGGAACGCACAGCACTGAATGAACGCTGCTCCTCTTTCCTTCTCGTTTCACAGTGGTGCATCAGCATAATAAAGCAAATGAGGCATTAGCTATTCAGCTTTTCTGTCTGGTGCTGATTCGCCCTGCTTAAAGCATTGCACCCAATGTCTTTGCATCTCTGCTGAGCGAATGAGACTTCCAAGGCTTCAGTCTCTCACAGGCATAATATTATACCCACACACACACACACACACAGTGCTGCTGGTCCATTGCACCGAGCCAATGGCAGAAAGCCACTAGCCTAATACTGAAAGCTGTCTGAGAAGTACATATGTCACATGCTGCCTGTACACATTACTGACTCACAGCCTCACAGGAGCCCTTGCAATATAGAGTCGCAGGCAGCTGCAACAGCACAAGGACCATTACTGCAAAAAAAAATAGTGGTGCAGATAAATAGTTTGACACAGACCCAAGAGAAGGGATTGTCTGGAGTCGTACTGTTTGACTGCTGTCAACTTACAGCAAAAAAAAGACATAAGGCAGATTTATTAATAGCGTAATCCGTCTGATTCGACTCACTCGATGTGGTACATCTTCACATTTTCATTAACATTTACTGCTGGACCTGATTGATCAATGTGGGAAATAAGATGTACGAGACGGAATAACGGATGAGAAGACACGGGGTGAATAGGAAATCCGAATCCTGTTTTCATTCGACCCATGCTTTTCTCCAGCAAAAATTCAATTGAATTGTCTCATTTGCCATCACCAGAACCACGAGAGAGCAGCCATTGCAAACATTGTTTTACCCAGCTGATGTTTACAGTAGAAGAGTGCTGTGCTGTATACACACTGCATCTCGTGCAATTTAACTTTATCACCAATTCTCGCCCATGGGGTTGGTAACTCGAGCTATAATTTCCCCTTTCCTCAATCAAATCTGTCGTCAAAGAACAAGACATTGTTTTAAGGGCTGAAAACAAATCACAGTCCCTTGCTTATAAATGGATTTCAGATTTTTTCTCCTGATTACACATGAGTTCTTCATGTAATTTGGCTGATGTGTTTCAACTCTCCCTGTGAAGACTAGCCACATGGGCCTTGTACTGAAATGCTCTCTGGATGAAGCATTCTAACAATGAATGATTTCATCCTGTTAAGAGCTTTTATGAAGTTGGAGCTTCAAAATCCATGATAAATTTCATCTGTTGCATTTTCTATAATTAATGGTAAATCAATAATATAATCCAGATGTGCAAATAAAAAATCTTTCCTTATTTCCTTATTAAAATACTTCCTTATTATGGCAGCAGCCAGCGGGTTGAGGACAGGGCAGGGAAGTGGGATTGAAAGTATAATTTTCATAGAGCGGGTGATGACGTGATTCACCGAATGGCCTCCTTCTGGGCTGTAAACTTCTATGATTCTATGTCTCACAAAGAGCCATGAAGTGAATGACTAATTTCACCTAAGGCAGTGTTGGCCAGGACACTGGGAGAAAACTCCCTTCTCTTCTCAAATTAAGCCAAGGAATCTTTAACGTTCTCCTGAACAGGGAAACGGGACCTTGGTTTAATGTCTCATCTGAAAGGCGTTACCTCCGGACATGCAGTGCTCCGCACAGCATTGCTTCAAAGTGTCAGCCTAGACTGCAAGCAAAGGAAAGCTTTTTTATAGACACGGGTTGTAACGATATCACTGTGTTTAACTGAATTTCTGTACAAGTCCATCCCTATGGTGTATCAGCAGACTTTCCCTGTTAAACTGATAGAATAATCTTGCTTATTTGGTTACAAATTTTAAGGCATATTCTCTATTCCTTTTACCATCAAAAATCTATATTACACTGATGGCTAAAAATAGTGATCTTTGTGCTGCACCTTCATAATGGGAATTCCCATTGTCTCAGTCTCTCTTACCCTACAATCCCAGTAGAGATTGCACTCAGTTAAATTCCAAATGATCTGAACTGAATAAAAGCTTCTGGGATTTCTGAGAATATTGTCCACATTCAGCTGAGCACAAGAGGGTATTAAATTACCAGCCTGATTCATGTATTCGGTTTTTCTTTCCTGTTGAAAATGTCAGGAGATTTGTGTCAGCCATTTATGCCGACGTGATGCAAATCTCTTGTTACACGAACCCAGGCCAATTGGGAGGCCAGAAGGCGGGAGTTTATTCCACTTGCTGTTTGCTCCTGATTATTTAGTGTAAATTGATTGAGATTAATTAAGCTTGGAAACATCAGTTTTGCCCACAAAATATACAGTCAATCCACTTTACAGTGTATCCCGTGAAGCGTGTTGATGTCTCAACGATGTGATAAGGCGATATATCAAATGCAAGTACTGTATTATGATTATTATCCATCTATTGCTAGATGTGTTTGAATAATCTGTGCATTTGCAATTAAGATAAACCCTAATCTCATCTCAAAGTGCTGCACAGGTTTTATTGTAAAATGAAATGATTTTATACGTAGGTAAACATGGCAGCCAATTTGCACACAGTGTGTTAGAACCAGTCATGAAGTGAATCTTTTATCTGCAGGATTGTTGGGCAGGACACTGGGAGAGACTCCCTTCTCCTTTTGAATAGTGCCTTGGGATTGTTAACATCCACCCGAACAAGCAGAATTTTGGTTTGACATCTCATTCAAAGGACAACACCTCCAACAATACAACAGCCCCAGCATTGCATTGGAGTGGCAGCCTAGATATGAACTCAAGATCCAATATGTGATTTGAACTCACAAGCTTGCGACTCAGAGACGAGAGTACTACCAACTCAGCCAAAAACTTTGTTTTTTATTCCATTGCAAAACAGAGTGAAGGACAAACAAGGAAGAACTCTGATGCCTAATGTGCATAGTTGTAAATATACCGATGCATACAAAAGCAAAGTAAAGCGACTCAGAAAAGAGCTGAATAGAAATTGGTCCCGAAATACAATATGCAGAACAATCTTTGCCGTAGCACAGTGTAAGACAATGCAGCCATTACTCACGAAATTAGTTGTGATTCTAAAACACTTTGCAATCATGCAAACTTTTAAATGCAGAAGTAATTCTTTAGAAAAGGGATGGCTATGTTTATTGGTAAAGCAGTACTTTGTTTTAAAACGTGCAAGAGCAAGATAGAATTTGTATTTATATTCTTTTTGAATAATTTAATCTCTTCAACTGAAGTAGCATCAGTCATGCAAAAGGCATTATGTAAAATTAACCAATTAGTGGAATGAATTAATAAATCTCAATGTAAAATTGAATTGGAAAACTTGTCATTCTGCGGAAAGGCACTGCAAATTAAGTTTAATGAATGACACAATTCTACAATTTAAATGCAGGAAAAACAATTACTTTACTGCCTGAAAATATATTGATCTGCATATGATATACTGCTTAATCTCAAATTCGATTGGAAAAGGTTCCTACAGTTAATGAGAGTCACTGCGGAAGCGTTTTTTTTTAAAACTTATGATACATTTTATCTTACATGCAAACATTTGAAAACAATTGAATAAATATGAAAATTACTTCTATATAAAACATTATAATCATATACATCAAACAATACAATTGTTATTCATAATTATTCTGAGGGCAACGGAACATTTATCAGAGCTGACCCTCGGCTTTGGAATATGTTCCAGTTATGTTACTTAGAAAGTTGTCCAAAGCACGCTTTTCTGACCAAGTGCAGGGCAGCCCCTTAATAAGTCTCCTGGCTCCAATATTTCAAGCCTGTGTTATAGACCACCACCAAAAATTGACCGACTTCTGAATCATCAGATCACCACTGATGTCACATCCTATGTGCTCTGCATATGGACTACGTCATTTCCTTTGTGAGAATAAGGATTATGATGCTGAGATTCCAAACTCTACAGATATTTTGAATTCTTTTACAACCTGAAATTGTACAGAGATACAGCATATTCCTAGTTATCTCAAAACTATTTTAATGTTTTGCTATCTGGATAAAAACAGCATAAACATCTGAGTCAGCCATTTGGTCGCTTTGGATTTTTCAGTTTAAATGTAGCTATATTATATATTTATTAAAATAATATATTTATTAATTTATAACTCCAGTGTACTGGGATACTGCTGGGGGTTAACCAGCTAAAAATGCATGTATCAAACATCCAGCTGACCAAACCAATTTATAAATGATATAAGCTACTGATAGAAGCAGTATTGACCAACAATCACAATAAATGAAAGCAGAGAAAACCCAAATGGAAATAATGATTGAAAATATTTGTCAGTTTGCTGTATGTTCACCAGAGAGAAAGAAAAATCAGGAGAGTAGCACTTGAACATAATGTGAAAATATATACAGGAGCAGGAAGATATTCAATCCCCTAGATGTAAAAGAAACCCATATTTCAGATTATGGTGTACAAATTGATTGATCGAACGTCAAGTCATAGGTACAGAAATGTTCTAAAATGTTATATAACCCCTGCAATTTAATTTTGCAATTGCAAAAGAGTAAAAGGAGTCAAATGAGCAAGGACACCAGTTACACTGAAACAAAAAGCAAAATCTGAGAGGAAATTTATCAAGGGATATGAGAGATTGAATAATGTAGCATTTCTGTTAGTCTTAGGTTCCAGCCAGACATACCACAAAGGCTTTTTCCTGTCCTGTGTTCCTTTGTTAAATACGTTTTGTATTTTAAGATTGAATACATCATTTCACAGAAGTTGCATTGTCAGGAAACACATTAGGAATCAATAGCTGTTCACTCCTGAAGTGCGTTCTAAGATTTCCTGCAATAACAAATGTGTAATACAAAATGAAAATCCAAATCCTATTGTGCCAGTATGTAATGCTGAGAATCATACTCCACACAGTGTGACATCACTGCTCATACAATGAGATGATATCATTTTGTGGACTAGATATGAATCCAGCCAAGATTGT